AATATATGAGAGTGTGTGTTTTGGGTGGGGGTGGGGGGTGGGGGGGGCTACTTTAATTTGATTATTTCTATTACATTTCAGGTCGTTGCAAAAGGACAGATTTGAAAGGTAGACTGCTTTGAGGAGAATAGAGCCGATTATGATTATTTTCAATGTCCTCTCAAATTTCTCAGAGCACATGCACCGTATTACATGTAGTACTTAGGCTACGATACAAGGCAATAATAGACCTCACAAGCCTGCACCCCCCCCCCCCCCCCCCTTTTTTTTTTCTCAAAAAGAACAGAGACGTCACACTTTTTGCAGGTAAGCTCAATACTTTGAAATCGACATCACTACTGACACGGTGGATGGATGCACACTATGACCTATGCCTGATGGCCAGGTGTATTTATGTCCACATTGCTCTTGTTCGACACTTACACTAATGAGTAATAATTAATGACTAAGTGTTGACAATTTTTCTTTGTTTTGGCTACTCCCCAGCCAGGTGGTTCATATGGTGCAAATTTATTTCTTTCAACAAAAAGATCTAACGTTTTCTTGGACTTTCTCATTGTAGGCGTGGAATACTCCACAAAGCAATAGATTGTTTACGCGATGTGTACAACCGTTGCCAAGATAACACCACAGTCAAGGCCGAACTCGACATGCTCTACAGTGTGCCTGACTGGCAAGCGGGGCAAGCCCTGCTGTGCCAGGACCTCAACCGTAAGTTAGGTATGGGAAGTCGCGTGACATTCATCTATTCCATCATGGCACGCCACTTCGCCCTAACCGAGTCACCAAACGTTTTTAATTTAATTAACGTCATGTGTGCCACTAGCTTTTGGGCACGGCTTGACACAACTGCAACATTGCTGTTCACTCTCTATCGACAAGAGCAGGTGTAAATTACAATGACCCGTTTACCCTCTCAGACATCTCTTTTCTTGGCCACGTATTGCAACAAAATTAAATGTTGCCCACTTTAGGCTTTGAAGAGGATCCAAAACTGTAGGCCTATGCCATTGGATTTCAAAATTGTGGAAACCAGTAAAGATTTTTCTTTAAATGCTCTTAGTCGAAAAGAGAGTACAGTATATTGGCGCTTTCTTTAGACCATAGATAGAAATCTAGAACTTTTTTTTCTTTTCTGATAATTTAAGCGGAGAGCGATCAATGTTTTAGCCAATAAAACCACAATAATAATAATATTAATAATAATAACATGATAGAAATATAGCAGTGTTTTACTTCAATTTTTTCGGATGGTGTGTACGTCAGTTGGGGGATGGGGAAGGAATGGCTGTAGAATGAACTAGTACTGGCAAAAATGCATGTCTTATAAATCAAATAATACGGTTATGCGCTTTTAGTACATAATGGCCAATAGTTTTGATGGGGTTTATTCAGAGGTGTCATAGAGACTGCAATAGTTCTGGACTTACTGCATCAGCATGCCAAACATTTTTCAAAAGTGGCACAACAGTAACAACTAGTTTTCAGGCTCAATACAGTTAGAAGGAACAAATTAAATAGGATACATTTTCTACTCTGGTTTAAATTTTTTATACAGGTGTCATTCTTTTTGACCAGTCATTAACATTATAGTAACTATTACATCTACCACCTCCCTCCCCCTTTGCCACAGACACGCAGACATAAACACACAGCGCACGCACACACGCTCACACGTACACACACACACACACACGCACATATATACACACAAACATACCCACAGCTGTATCATTCACAAGAGTGTGATTGAGAAATTCGGGCCACCACCATCAACACACATACACATAATTATTTGTATTTAAAACAAGAACTTGTAATCTATCAAGAATTAAAAGCCACCTATCATCAGCCATAAAATAGCATGTAATTAATTAATTGATTATCAGTCAAACTAAAAGTTAGAACAAAAAAACTCATCAATCAATCAAGCTACGCACTAGCTTATAATACATTTTAAAATTTGGCATGTTCTTACGGCATGCAAGGTCAATGAAAAACCTGTAATCAGAAAAAAGAGCAGATTTTGTTTTTTTTCAATTAACTCTGGAACAATTAGATCTAGAACTAGAGTACTTTACTTCTTTCGCCTCTAGATGCTTTCATTGCTTTGCTATGCTTTGGATGGCTCATACTTTCACTCTTTGATCATTTCTCCCAAATATAAGATTGATCTCTTCCTTCCCCCCCCCCGCCCACCCTTCTTCCCAACCTTGTCCTTTCCACCCCCTCTCTGCCCCACTGCCTTCCAACATCGATCCACTGTCCCCGACAATACTCTTGCTGTGCCTGGCAGTGTTCAAGGATCATTTTGACTGTGTGTCCAAATTTGGCCCTCGCATCTCCACATGCATCCTGATCCGCACACAGATGTTCCGTAAAGCCATCACTGACGCTGGAATCGCTCCATCCCGAACTCTTCATGATATCACATGCAAGTAAGTGTCAACCAGTAGGATGACAGGATGTACAAGTGTTAATGTTTTGGCACTAAATTTGTAATCTAATAGTAACAGGGTTATCATTAATTTTTTTTTATAAAAGTAGACACAATTACTGTCATGGTGATCCCTGGTCTAATTTTATTTAAAAGTGGACACGAGTATGAGTGTGCGAAGGAGAGAGAGAAGAGAAAGCGAGAGAGAGAAAAAAGTGCAACAGGAGATCTACAAAGACAGACAATAGTGTGCTTTTGTATGTGATTGTCAGCCTACGAGAGACAGAAAACAGTTGTATGTGTGTTTGTGAAACAATTCGGCTATGTTCGAGACAACGAGAAAGAATTGTTCAAAAGCCCAATCCTTATAAAATTCTCTTTTCTCTCATTCCAGTTTTGCAGAAAACATTGTCAACTGCCTAGAGCGACCTTTGGCACGAGCATGTCCAGTTCACGTTGTGGACACAATGGTGACCGCCCTCCACCGCTTCCTACCCCCAGCCTGTGCACCAGTGCCTGCAGTCAGAAAATTAAGCGATGGCAACGGTGATGCACATGCTGAGAGGGAAGCCTTTGTCTTTGAGACAGTCATTGTGGAGGGGGGTGAGGGAGAAAACTAAAGGGCCCAAAGGTTGGGGATAATAACAAAGTACAAACTGAAAAAAAGAGGGCTCATTCAAAAGGAAACATTAAAGTGACTACGGATAGAAAAAGGAAAGAAAAAAAAAAGGGGGGGGGGGAGGGATAAAGATAATAGAAGCAGTTGTATAGAGCTGGTAAAGATGAGACAATGAGTTAAGGCACAACCAGCAACTGCGGTTGTAGGGGATATGATAAAGGCCAGAAGCAGCAGGTTAGACGTAGGCAAGGGAAGAACTATAGAAAAAAGTGTTGTAGAAAAATCTGCAAGGGGATAGGGGGAGTAATTAAGAAGAAATGTACAAAATTGTAGCGGGGAATCCTTTGTTCCAAGGATCAAGGAAATGTGGGCTACACAAAATCAAGAAGCACCTATGGAGTATGTCTGTTATTAGTAGCTTTCGACTTGTCAAAGGTTTAGAATCATATACACACAGCATGTACAATGGTTCAGCTTTTACATTACTCTTATAAAGATATTACATCTGTCTCCTCTGAACCCAAACAGTAATAGCAGATGAATAGAAGATAAAAACTATTTATTAGAAATGATCTTTGATCTACAACCCCAAAAAAAGCTTTTCAAAGATGTGAAGTATGAAAACCATGACAACTTTTCTTTTTGACAATTACCGGTACATTTATTTCAAATTGCTCAACAGCACACTCCAAGAGATATCCTGTTACAACTGAAAACTGTGAAAAACGAAACAGCTGGAACATAATATATTACCGCGCACAGACATGTTCTCACACACACACACACACACACACGTGCACACCCACACACTAAACTATACACACATGGTACAGTAAACACATTTAAATAACACAAATATACCTCAACATATACTTTCCTTACAAGTTTCACTCACAAGACATATAGAAAAGATTACCCGGGACCTGTGGTAATTTACTGTGCTAACCCTCCATTGTTTGATACGTTTGTACATTCTGACCATTTGTTTTATATTATACGTACATGTGATGAACTAACAAAGTGCCTTCTCTTTATAGGCAGTGGCTGCATTTCTAGCTAGCAGAGCTAGACATGTTTATATACTGCAGGTAATGTTGCAATAAACTTGTTGATTGATGTCTCAAACTCAAGAGCAGTAATAAATCTGGTCAAATCACATGCCCTGAGTTTTGTTGTAATTGTTCCCAAAATAAAAGTTAGAAGTTAGATCTTAATCATTCAGTATTCGACAGTCAACTTCTTTCTAAAAGACAAAATAACTCACAAAGTTAAGGATGACAAGCAAATAACCAATATAGAAACATGTTCCAGTAGTTGAATGCTTGGCTCTCATAAAGTCAGTTCAATTATCACATTTACTGCACTCTAGCCCAGTCCTATAAATTCATTGTGGCTTTGATGACAAGAATATGTATCTCTTTTAAAGTTAGAGGTACATTCAATTTAGGAAGTCTAGAAGAGACACAAGAATATAGCTGATATTTGTCGAGTACCCAGCATAGCAAGCTGAAGGATCCGTTTGTCTGACCTTGCTTTCCCCAAAACGTCAGGTACTCTGAAATTTAAAGTAAAATATTCAAAATTTGTAGAATGTGAGGCTAACTATTTTTAGCTCAATACTCCCTCCAGAGTTATAATGGGCATGATGATCACATATCACAGCTGCCCATGGCTCAATCAAGGAGTAGAGAATTATAATAATTAAATATACAAGTATAGAATATTCTTTTTTTAACTTATGTTATTTTCCCTTGCCGCTTGTCTCCAGGACTCCCTTCAGACTTGACATGTTGATATACATCAGGACTGGACCTTTTCCTAAATACTGCTATAAAGAATCCAATGGTGTCCACATTGTAACATTCTCTGACATCGGGCTGTGTGAGTTGAATACTTGGATCGAACCTCTGCACCTTGGACAAGAGTTCACTTTTCAACTTTGACCCTGGCAAACCTGGGCCACCCAATTTGTGTGGCTGGAAAAGAAAGTAAAAAGAATTTTAAAATTGACAGCTCAACAAAAAGAGTGGCCACAAATACTCGTAGAAACTAACAGATACCTAAGCCCTTACTTTACCTCGAGAGACAGATAACACGACAGATATTATAATAATGAAAATTCAGAAAGAGAAGTTTCCCTGAACTAAGACAGGGCCTATGTGAAAGAAACTCTCCTAAACAGAGTAGTTTGTTATGCTAGCCAATCAAGACAAAGCTTCCAGCCATATTACAATTTCTCTAAAAGCTGCAGAGACTTTTTCTTCCCAAGATAAAACAATCTTCTCAATAAAGAAATGGCCCTTTAACTACACAAAAGGTAAAATATTGTCAATTGATTTCACTCAAACAAACAGAAAAAAACAACCAAAAGTGAACAACTAACTATATCGAACAGTTTCTAATATGCCTGTTTTAGTTAATGGAGAATTCTCTAATTCCAAACAAAAATATTAACAACATCATAATATAATTAATCTTTGTATCCCTGGCGGAGGGCTGGCTTGACATATGCCCTGGATTCTTAAAACAGGGGAAATCATTCCCTTAAATAACTTCATACAGTGGAGTCCACTTATAATGAGTCCGGAAAAAACTAGAAGTCTGTTATAAAGACACTATTCTAAAACCCCATTTTTTTTTCCTCTTTACCTTTGTAAATAAAATACTGCTATAGCGCTATCAGACAAACAAGCGAGTCGGTTATAGCGGAATATTCCTGCTGCTGTGCACAGTTCATAGGCCAATTATACATATGCAAAACCTCGCCAGTTGAGAAACTTGTTGGTGATCTTGCGAAACAAAGAATAGGGGAGCCCATGTGCGTCAACAATGAAGGCCGGAGCAACTGAGTAGGGAGGGTGTGGCATGCGCAGACAAGCAGAATGCATCGCGTGATCGGCCAGCGTAAGCCTAGTTTAGATTATCAAGGCCTACCATGCCTCTCACTTCTGAAATACGGGGATGGAGAGGTCACAGCAATGTGATGGATAGAGCAAATGTGTGATGTGCGCAAGCAGACAGAATGCACCACAGGGTGGGGTGGGGTGGGGGAAAACACAGCGGGTGAGTTAGCCCAGAACCCTTTCTTTCTGATCGCCAACTCCGAGCTGTCAGTCCACATCGCTAGATCTAGCGCTAGAGAAAGAAGCCTGATTCGATTTTTGATCAAGTAAGACCTAGAGGTCATGTTGAAACAAAATCATCATCAGGGGAGATAGCAAAAGGAAATAAACAGGACACCAAACTCATAGATTAGGCCTACTTTACAGTTTCCCTTGAATTTATTACTGGATCCCTTATAGCGAGAATCCTACTAAAACGGACATTTTGCTCCGGTCCCCTCCCTCTCGTTATAACGGGATTTCACTGTACTAAGTTTTTAAAAGATTTTTTTTTAATTTTATCTTTGGGGCTATGCTGACCAAAACAACACAGGTAAGAGGATTGAAGAAGTATGTCAGTCCTTTAACCTCATCCTTCTTCAAGATGAGGATTCAACCAAAACACTTCTTCATAGGACACATAGGACCCTCCACAGACCAGATTTCACCCTGGTCTCTGGTGATTTACACTACTGCAGTGAAGAGATGCTAGACTGTAGGGCCTATATCTAGTGACCATCGACCCGTTCTCACCAAAATCAGTATATTGAAACACAGACAAAGGAAAAGAAGAACCCGTTGGAACTTCAAGAAGGCAAACTGGGATCTCTTCAGAAAAACAGCTGAGGACACCGTTAAACTGGTTGATCTAGACAATAAAAGTATAGACGCCCTTAATAGTAATAGTGAACTCACCTCCACCATCTTAGATGTTGCAAAGAAGAGTATCCCATAGGGGTGCAGAACCAACTATAAACCCTTTTAGAACGAACGCTTGGAGAAAGCTACAAAAACTAAAAATGATGCCAGACATGAATATATATGAGTAAGAGCTAAAAAATATGGGCAAGAAAATTAGATACAAAAAGGCCGTAGCAGAGGCTAAACTTGTCACCAAGGAATCTAAGAAGGAAGCCTGGACGCAAAAGTGTGAGGGACTCAATTTACATCAAGGTAGACGTGAAGCTTGGTCACTTCTAAATAACCTCACTGGCGAAAAAAGGAAAGAAAACCCCAAAATACTACACACAGAAACCGAAGTTCTCACCAGAGAGTTCAAAAAAGCTGAACACCTCAATAAACATTTTGCCTCCATTAATAAGAGCAGGAAAAGGAATGACCTTGACAGGGGTCTACTGAGTGTTCTGAAAGGAAAAGAGAGAGATCTGATGACACTGAGTATCTTCCAGAACTTCTTAAGTAAGCGAGAGTTGGACTGTGCAATCAAGAAACTGAAGAAGCGAAAAAGCCCAGGTCCTGATAAAGTACACAATGAGATGCTACAAAACCTTGGTGAAAAAGCCAAATTGCTACTTCTTAAGCTCTACAACAGAACATGGACTGAGGGAAATCTGCCTAAAGCATGGAAACTAGCTACTATAAACCCAATCTTAAAGAAAGGAAAGAAGGCCAATGACCCTAAAAACTACCGCCCAATACAGTGGAACTCGGATTCAACGAGGTCGCCGGGCCTGACCTAAAATCTCGTTGAATCCGAGTGTTCGTTATAGCAAACACGAGGTTATGTGTAGATATAATTACAGGCAGTGAGCAAGTTATGTATAAAAAGAAGTCACAAGTAGTGCCTGAAAACTGAAATGTCTACATATTATGAGCTGTGTAAAAAAAAAAGACTGATTCGTTCAAATGCACGCCGTGTCATCTCAATTGCTTACCAAAAAAGTTGTGTTGCTGTGTAGAAGAGCCTAGCATACGGCAACTTTTAATTCCATAGACCAGCGCACAATTCATTACACAGATCTAAGACTAGCTTATCATTGTAATAATGATCAGTTGCCGAAGGGGAAAAGACTGTGACCCGTTTGAATCTGCGACGTTCAACGCCCGAACCGCCAATGCCCCCCCCCCCCTCTCCCCGACACGCACACACAGTACAGTGACACATGTGCAGGCCGCCCATCCGACCCCGACACACGCCAGAGTAGAAACGTGCGCGTGCCAAGACGCATGTGTTGGTATGAAAAAAGGCCACAGATTGGTCGCATGCAATCGGCTAAGTGAATAATGGTTCACGATGTAGGTGCAATGGATGGTTTCCAGGAATAGATAAGGTTCGTTCTGGTAGAAAAATGAGCGAAGCCACGTTTGTGGGGGCTGTTCACCCTGGAAGCGACCTTGTTGAATCCGAGCTCGCTGATTTAAGTGCTCGTTGAATCCGGGTTATTTTTATTGATATTAAAGAAGAAAAAAAATGGGGAATCTATTTCCTCTCGTTAAATCCGAGTTCCACTGTATCACTCACGTCCTGTATTGGCAAGCTCTGCGAAAGAATCCTCAATTCTCGTCTTTATTGGTGGCTTGAGTCTTCAGGTCTGATATCACAGTGTCAAGCAGGATTCAGGTCAAAAGGCAGGACAGAAGACCAACTCTTCAGGCTTACACAGAAAATCATTGATGGATTTCAAAGAGGGGAACAGACAACAGCTGTGTTTGTGGATCTCCAACAAGCCTATGATAGAGTGTGGAGGAAAGGACTACTCTTAAAACTGCAGAACATGGGAATCAAGGGATATATGTACTCCTGGATTAAATCATTCCTTACAGATAGACTTATCCAGACCCAGATGGATGAAACCCTATCTTCAAAAGCAGTACTGGAGGAAGGACTCCCACAGGGATCTTCTATCAGGTGTACCTTATTCCTTGTCTTCCTCAATGATGTTTCAGATGTTCTCAAAACAGAAAAAAAACGTTTTTGCTGATGACCTGGTCCTTTGGCACACTGGAAACTCGACAACAATAAGCAGACGAAGACTACAAGATGATCTAAATTCCCTAGGAACCTATTGCCGTTTATGGAAGATGAAAGTAAATTGCGAAAAAATTGTCTACTCTGTTTTTACCAGAAGCTATAACCTTGTAAATGCAGAAATCCCTCTCAAAATAGATGGTACCAACTTAAAAAAGGAGAATAACCCTGTGTATCTTGGAGTACAACTTGACAGCAAGCTCAACCTGAAACAACACACCAACAACCTTAGGAAAAAGGCTATGAAGAGACTTAAAAATCTCATGAAACGACTAGCCAGTACCAACTGGAGATCAGACAAGAACACCTTGAGAGGCCTCTATTAAGGATATATACCAGAGCTGCTTTTGATTATAATCTTGTTCAACAAAATATTTGCAGTAAAACTACAAAGAACTCAATGGACACCATCCAAAACCAAGCTCTTCGTCTTATCTCTGGCGGAATGAGATCCTTACCGACAGCGGCCTGTGAAATCCACACAAATATTGAGCCATTAGAAACTCGAAGAAAACGGGCAGCTTTAGAAGTGTATGAAAGATTTAAAAGGCTAGAAAATAACCACCCTAATAGAATCCTTGTTGACAAGTGGAAACCTAATCAAAGACTAAAAAATACAAAATCTGTACTTGACACTGTTCTCAATCTTCAAGAAAAACATCACCTCCCTGAAAGACGAGAACCTCTGGAAAGAGTTCCCTCAACTCTCCCACCACATCTCACCATAGCAAAGCCAGAAATTTAGGAAAACACTTTTGGACAAGAGCAATAAAAACACATATCCTGTAGCACTAAAACATTCTGCCCTTGAAACAATTGATTCCTATCCACCAACATGGATCCACTCATACACTGATGGATCTGCCCGTAAGGCAACAATCAACGCTGGATATGGGTCAGTGATCAACTTGCCCAGTGGGATAAAAAAAAAGAAGTCTTTAGTTCCAGCGGGTCCTTCTGCTCCAATTTCATTGCCGAACAACAGGCTATCACCAACACAGCAAACTACATTAACTACTTGCTTGACACTAACCCACTTGCTACCACAGACATCGTTATCTTTACAGACAGCCTTTCAACACTAGAGACATTTGAGAGTGGGACTGATGTGAACAAAGATATTTGCACTTAATTTGGAGTCTACATAATTTGATAAGTAGGCACCACGTCAGAGTAATCCTACAATGGATTCCTGCCCACACTGGGATACCGGGAAATGAAAGAGCTGATGCTCTGGCAAAGAAAAGAGCTAGCCTCCCTCAGCCTGAAATTCCTACGAATTACATCACCTGCTGCCAAATTATCAAGTCAAACCTCAAGGAAGAGTGGATGAATGATTGGGCCACAGGTACGACAGGAAGGAGGATGTATGGCCACATGAATAAACCTCTGGTCAAAGATCCAACCAATGAGTTGATGAGGGGAGATCAATCCATAATCTTCTAACTTAGAACACAACATGTACCCCTCAACCAACATCTCAATCGAATTAGAGTAAAGCAGTCTGCTGCCTACCCACTATGTGACTACCCCTCAGAGACAGTGGAACATCATCTGTTCTTCTGTAGAAAACTAACTGATTTAAGGGGATGTTTTCTTCCCAAGTTACCCCACACATCTAATTGCCTCTACTCCTCAAGACAACAATTAGAACAGACATGCAGCTATTACCGAATGGCATCAGGCAGAAGAGTTAACGCGCAGATGCTACTGGGTCGCTAACAACAACAACAACAACAAAAACAAAATGATCTGAGAAAAATGCGACTACATTTCAAAATGAGCACTAGATCTAGACCTAGTTCTAACAACTCCATTTTTACTGTGATCTAGGGTGAGCAAATTATTTATTAACCCTACCCGTACGTCGTGTTTTACTATCGTATCTCTATACAACAAGGGGGAACTCTGTGAAACCACTTTCCAAAGAGAAAATTTATTCATTAATCCAATCCATACGCTTTGCATAGCAGTCTGTTAAAATGATTTTTTGAGAAATACTGAAAGTTTCAAAGAGATATTTGCACTAGGAGTATTTCAAAAAGTGAAGAATACAACCCAGAGGGTACAAAATGACCCCTGGGCGTACAGATAGGGTTAATACCTCTATAAGTTGTGACTACCAGTTTGCACATTTAACCCATCAACTTCATCAAATTTAATTAAGATATAATGCAGTTGCTCAGGTGAATTAAAAATACAATATTCTAGTAGATAGGATTTTTTAATGTGTTTTTGTCTTCATTTGGTCAGGATCGCTTCTGGGCCGAGTCATTGTGTACTAAAAATTGTCTTTTGATTTGTCTATGATCCCAAAAACACAATGCTGACCTGTGCAGATCTAACATATCCAATAACTTCCAGGCTTTCGCAAATTTACAGCAAGGTCAAGTTCTACCAGCTTCTTTTGGTGTTCTTAGTTAGCAAATGGTAGTGGTACTTTCTGGCCCTTCTAGCATAGCTGCCAACTTTTCAAAACTCAACATCAGACTCTCTCCTTCGGCGGGGTCCAGGGGCAGATTTCACAGGCGGATAACACATACAAAAATCGATATTCGGTATTAGTACACATCATGCCCTGTGTCGATATTTACTAACAATAAAGACAAAGTGGACGCAACCAACACAAAACATTTGTTCATTTCCCATGAGCACCCAAGTACCAAAGTACTTGTGGGCTCATCAGTGAATTAAAATTGTGAAAGGCTTTTTTCCCAAAACAAAATCTCTGTGTATTATTACAAAAATGTGAAATTGTATTTTTCAATGCGATGTCGGAATCATACTAAATACGATTTTATCGTACTGGTTGACAGCTATGTTCTAGTTCTAGTTCAACTAGTTGGTAAGTCGGTATAGACCAACTGATGACACAGCCACAGACTCGACTTTGAATCCTTTTGAGCATGCTATCTCCTTGGAGACACCCTGCAGCTCTCCTATAACTCACCGCGTCACAAAGCTCCAGATCTGGACACTTGGTGAGGAGTCGAGCCACCTGGTCCTCGTTCTCGTCCACGCACACGGTGCAGGTGCTGTACACCAGAACGCCTCCAGGACGCACAAGCTGCACCGCCTGGTCACACACACACATAGGGGAAGAAACAAACCTTTACATTAAATTACACCACAAGTTATTAGCCCTCCCTCACACACATATATTTATATAATGGGAAAGAAGTAAATGTTCACCTCAAAAGTAATTGGTCCACCCTCACACATACATGGGAGAAAAAAATAAACCTTTACATCACAAGTTATAGGCCTACCTTCACACATATATGGGGGAAAAGTAAACCTCTATAACACAAGTTATAGGCCTATCCTCACACATGGAAAGAAATAAACTTTTACATCACAAGTTATAGTAACTTATAGGCATACCCTCAAAGACTTGCTCATAATGAATGTTGACAGACACCACCAGAGGCATAAAAAAGTATTTTAAAACTCATTCTTTAATCATTCTATAGATCCAAACTGAAAGCCATGTTATTGGAAAAAAAGCCTAAAAAACTTCTCAGCATTGACTTTTTGCAAAAAGATACATACAACAGTTATACACATGACACTTTTATATCCTTTATCTCCTGCTAGTAAGTAATGCACAGACTGCTGATGAATACCCCTTGACTGAAAAGAAGCAACTTGTTAAAATTAAAAGGAATATGCCTGTTTTAGCTGAGACAACAGTAGGCTACTCACCGACAGAAGTATTTTGTGTTGTAGCACTGGGTAAGACTTGAGCTGGTTCAGAGACAGCCTGTTCACAGCACAGGGTCGCTGGCCCAAGGCACTGCATGGGGCGTCCACCAGGACCCGGTCAAATGAGGCTGGCAGGTAGGGGGGTGAGTCATCTGGACCTGGGGTTCAAATGTTATGACAAAGCTCTAAACTTCAAACTTGTTGGTAGCCGAGTTGTAGTTCTCAGTGTTTTGGGACAATAACACAACAACTTTTGTTTTATGGTGCTTGCAACACAATTAGGTCATTTAGATGCCAAAGATTAGAGGTGTTACAAAAGAGTAACAAGCGCAAAAAAGGAGGAGGGATAAGAACAACAGATGATTGATAGGAAAGAAGAAGGTAAAGCACATCAGAGCACCCACCAACCATCCACTAACACAACAACAAATTATTAATTTTAATTAGCCAGATTTCACAAGAAACGATGAATACAAAAAAAAACAGTGAAAAAAGTAGCAGTAGAAGGACCAGACCACACTATGTACAAGTAAGAAACCTACTGGCTTGGTAGTCAAGAGGCAAAGAGAAGCATTATTTTAACCCAGCACACTCAATTTGCGGAGACATAAAAAGCAATAAGGCCCAATTGCTAGAAAATCAGTACAAATTTTCATTTTCCTAACACGACACTACACAATAGTCAAAAGTTTGGACCAAGCTGACTATAAGCAAGGACAAAGCCAAAAGACTGAAGAATAGATATATCTGTGAAACAGCACAACTTACCTGAAATATCTGACACAGCTTTCGTGGAGTCAAACTGAAAACATTTGACATTGTCTAACCCCAGTTTTTCCATGAGATTAGACATCTTTGAAGCTCTTTCTGAACTTTTTTCTAAAGCCACTACCACACCCTGAATGGAAGAAAGAAAAATCATTGAAGCTGACACTGTTTCATGCATTCTATTTTTTTTTTGGGGGGGGAAAGATTGTACCTGTATTTAGTCGAACAAAAACAGACCTGCATCCAGTGTAAGCCATATGTACATAATACAGGACTATTATATACAATAATACTTCTAAAAAAGAGAACTACTTTACAATTAAACCACAGGCCTGTAGTAAGAGTTTTGAATTTTAAGAAAGCATCTACTTTCCATGCTAACAAGGCTGAACTTTTCTAAGCGATGGGCATTGCTCCTAAGAAAACACTGAGCTTCCCCATCAATACCCTCAATGTATCTAAATTACAAGACAGTACTCAATGCTTTCAAAATCTTATTTTTAATTGCAAAGGTATTTCTGACTTTTTTTTTTCAAATGTAGAGAATGCCTATAATATAATTACAACTGAGTTAACGGTACACAGAATCTGAAGTACTCACAGAATTCTTCATGAGAGCAGCTATGTGAGATGTTTTACCACCTGGTGCAGCACACATATCAAGAACTCTCTCTCCTGGTTGAGGGCCAAGGAAATGGGCACATGCCATTGATGGTAAATTTTGTGAAAACACCCATGGGAACGGGAGATCATTCATGGCAGGAGCTTCATACACTGGTTGTGTCATCAAAATTCCAATACCCCTGTGAATAGGCAAACTGAGTTGTTCAAAGGTGGGCATGAGAGAAAAAGGGTGGAGAAAAAGATAAGTAAAGTGTTTTGAACTGAGAGTGAGATAAAAAAGGAATGTATGGAGAAAATGGAAATGATCTAGTCTTGAGCCTGTGGGTGGCAATGCTTTTAATAATTTTAAGTTATAAAGAACTAAGAAATGGCAAGATGATTGGTAAAAACAGCAAAAAATTAAGAGGGAAGAGCCTAATGGCAGCGCTCTCCTTTCCTATCCCTAAGTTAAAAAAATACTACCTGAATTCTTCCATATATCATTCAATGAAAAATGAGAAGAAAAACATCTTTCCACCCATAACGTTAAGAAATTGTAATAATTTTTAATAATAACACCAACACTTTCAGATTTTTTACTGAAAGAAAATCAAATACCTTTATGAATAGATTTCAATCAGAAACACAAACTAATCTCAAAAGAAAACATTACGCAGAGTAAAGATTTAACAGAGAAACTTTGATAATTTTAGAGGTATAGGATCTTAAAAAATTGGCATCTTTATCATATCCATGTTGCCAATACAAAAATAACAAAAAACATTTTCAGTAACTGAACACTCACCGGACACCACCACTGGCGTTGAACAAATCGGACCGGGCCACCTGAGCCACACCATTTCCGACATGGAATTTCCGACCAGGGTATTTCCCAGCAAACCCTTTGAGACACTTCCCATCAAGGTCTGAGAAGACTGACACAGTGTCACCAGCTCTCAGATCTGAAGCAAAAGAGAATTTATTATGAACAGCTGACAACAAAACGAAACAAAACAAAACAAATACTCAACGTTCGGCCAGAAGCCAGAACTGGTACCCTCATATCTAGAGAAGGTGAGCAAAAGGGGAAAAATGGATAGCGTTTTAAAGAGAAACTGTTCATAGGTACATCCACTGTAATTAAATCATTCTACATCAAATTACTATTGGGTACCCAATAACTTCAATAACACGGCTGCATCTTTCAACCATAAAGTTAATGCAGCCAGTCGACACACCAGGGCAGTCAGCAATTCAGAACTGAGAGAGCCAATACACAGCAACTGACGAGACAAAACGTTTTTAAAAGTTTAGAAGTATGAATAATAATAACATAGCCTCATTTGACATTTTCCACATCAGAACTGCTCTTCTACTCACTTTGAGGACATGCCATAATGCCTTGAGCAAAGACATTGGCTCCTCTCAGCACTGCCATTCCACAAGACAAATCCACAACAATTTCTTTTTCTACCTGAAAAATATAATAGAATTCTAGAATACAAAAGAAACATTTTAAAAAATCTTTTGAAGTGGCAATTTTTGGGTTGCTTTTTTAAACCCTATTACTTATTACTACAAAATCAAATGTTCATAAGATTCCAGGGAAGCTGAAAAAATAACATTACATAAATCTCTCTCTCTCTCTCTCTCTCTCTCTCTCTCTGTGTCTATCTCTCTCTCTCTCTCTCTCTCTCTCTCTCTCTCTCTCTCTCTCTCTCTCTCTCTCTCTCTCTCTCTCTCTCTCTCTCTCTCTCTCTCTCTCTCTCTCCCACACACGCTCTCTCTCTCTCTCTCTCCCTCCCTCCCTCCCTCCCTCCCTCTCTCTCTCCCTCCCTCCCTCTCTCTCTCTCTCTCTCTCTCCCACACACGCATGCACACACGCATGCATGCAGCACGCACAAACACACATACACACACACGCACACTCAAATAACACAAACTTACACAGAGAAAGAAAGGAAGAATGCATCAACATATTTTAAAGAGCTGGTATTCACCTGAGGCAAACTGAAAGGTCCTCGGTTTTCAATGATGATGCAGTCATCAATCACAGGATGTTGATATAAGGTAAACTCAGCCATACCAGTCAGTTTGCATTGCTGAAAAGGACAAAATTTCATTCTTTCATATTTGTACATTTGAGTCAACGTAAAGACATGCTCACATTTAGTTCAGGGGAATACCAAGATGCAAACATAGGTAACAGTCAAAGTTTTGCAACCATACAAAATGAGGCTTAAATCATTTAGGTTGTTAGGATGAAATAACAAATTGTATTCCGTTTATTTCATGTTTAAAGAACATTCTACTTATGTGCTGAAACATATTCACTGGTCAAATTTATATCAATTTCTGCCATCCTATTTTTTTAAAAATCATAACACTTGGCAAATTTAATGTTAGAGCAAAAATGTGTTTATATTTTTATTTGCAGGACATGATGACTTCAAGAAAATTTCAAGAGAAGCCTAACTAAAACTTTAAATACAGTTTATTTTACCTCTGCAAGAACACCTCTGAGAGCCTCTATAGCTGTTGTTATATCTGTTAGCTGTAGGTTGATCCGCAGGGTGGAGAACAATGGTGGTCTGCACAGAATCTTCAACAGGTGAGACAAATTGCTGGAATTTTTCTGTTGCGGGAGAGACGTATAGAAGGTATAATACAATCATAAAAAAGTATTTTAAAAAACAACTAGAAAAGGAATTTAAATACCAGTATAATATCAATAAAAATCGACAGCTAAAGTAAATGGACGATTAGACTTGAGAAAAAGAATAATTGATCATATCGGGAATATACATAAGTCCAGAATATTAAATCATGAACTGCAATGAAGACAAAGTTGAACTTTTAATAACAAAACTGTTGATTCACAATGACTTGCAACACTCATCAGTTCAAAGTAAAAATGATCTAATGTATCCAAGCCTGGACAAATTGCACAATAATATTATAAGAAATATTTTTCTGTGTTCAACTTAGAGGTCTTGCAAAAAATTACTTAAATCTAAAACATTTTTTAAACCAGGTTGACCCCCACCAGGTATAATATTGCCTCTATTGCAGGCTTAAATTTGAATTTGATTCACTTGATCTGTATAAGAGCATTTGCCAAAAGGTGGGATACCTGGGTGTGACAAATGAGGTCCAAAATCAACTTTATGTAATAATTCTTTAATCACCCATATTATATAGCCTAATGATTGCTCTTTCAGACTCAGTAACTGCCAAAGCTGTATATGCAAGGGTCTTGGTGTAATTCTGACTTGAATGACGGAAATAGCAAAAAGTTCGTTCATAACAATGATGACACAAATTTATGAATACTCGAAGTTCCTTTCTTCAGCTAGGCTGATGTTATATTTTGAGACATAGCAAATAACTTCCAAAACTACATAGAATTGACAATTTATAAAAATCTTTATTAATTTTTGATAAAATTACTTTTTTGTGTCATAATAGTTATGAACGAACAATAAGTGACCAAAATACTATCAATTATATCAAGTTTCATCGACTAGAATTGTCTAAAATAACACTCAATTGACTCATTATAGTCAAGTGATAAATGAAAGACCATTAAACAGCTATTTTTAAACGCAAACTGGTCTTAGGGCATATTATGCATAAATTTAAAGTTCGTTCATAACCATTATGACACACTGTTTCGTTCATAACTATTATGACAAATTTTACTTTTGGCCCCTAAAATTTACTTATATTGTTCTGTCTTTCACATAAAACGGTTTTCATTTATGAGGCTTTCCTTAAAATGATAGATTCCTCTATGTAGGGAGAATTCAAAGTTTATATTTCCTGAAAAACCCTTAGAATACCTTTAAAATGGTTCGTTCATAACAATTATGACAAACTTCAATTTTGACCTAAAAATTTACTCATTTTGATCTGTCATTCATTTTTTAAAACTTTTATTAAATGAAACTCTCCTCATAATATGTATCTCTGTACATGTTTTTTAAAGTTTGTTAACACTGAAAAGCCCTCAAAATATATAAAATGGACTATAAATAGTTCGTTCATAACCATTACTACAAAAGTATAATACTAATTAAAATCCACACCCATACACTTATGATAAAAATCAAAATATCAGAATGTATGCAAGGTCTATTCTGTCCTTTAGTTGGGTTAAAATTAAAAATACATCCCAAAACAACTGTAAATTACATGGAATTAGGTTTCGTTCATAACCGTTATGACACACTGTTTCGTTCATAACTATTATGACAAATTTTACTTTTGGCCCCTAAAATTTACTTATATTGTTCTGTCTTTCACATAAAACGGTTTTCATTTATGAGGCTTTCCTTAAAATGATAGATTCCTCTATGTAGGGAGAATTCAAAGTTTATATTTCCTGAAAAACCCTTAGAATACCTTTAAAATGGTTCGTTCATAACAATTATGACAAACTTCAATTTTGACCTAAAAATTTACTCATTTTGATCTGTCATTCATTTTTTAAAACTTTTATTAAATGAAACTCTCCTCATAATATGTATCTCTGTACATGTTTTTTAAAGTTTGTTAACACTGAAAAGCCCTCAAAATATATAAAATGGACTATAAATAGTTCGTTCATAACCATTACTACAAAAGTATAATACTAATTAAAATCCACACCCATACACTTATGATAAAAATCAAAATATCAGAATGTATGCAAGGTCTATTCTGTCCTTTAGTTGGGTTAAAATTAAAAATACATCCCAAAACAACTGTAAATTACATGGAATTAGGTTTCGTTCATAACCGTTATGACACACTGTTTCGTTCATAACTATTATGACAAATTTTACTTTGGGCCCAAAAAATTAACTTATTGTTCTGTCATTCACATAAAATTGTTTTAATTTATGAGACTCTCCTCAAAATAAGGTTATATGTTGGAAGAATTCAAAGTTTAATCACTGAAAAACCCTTAGAATACCTTTAATTGTTCGTTCATAACTATTATGACAAACTTCAGTTTTGACCTAAAAATTAATATTTTGACCTGTCATTTACTTTAAAATTTCATATTAAATGAAAGTTTCCTCATAATATGTATCTGTGTACATGTTTTTAATGTTTATCAACTCTGTAAAGCCCTCAGAGTACAATATGTAGTTCGTTCATAACCATTACTACAAAAGTAAAATACTAATTAAAATCCAGACCCATACACTTATCATAAAAATCAAAATATCAGAATGTAAGCAAGGTCTGATACATCCTCAAGTTGGGTTAAAATTAAAAATACATCCCAAAACAACTGTAAATTACATGGAATAAGGTTTCGTTCATAACCATTATGACACACTGTCACGTTCATAACATGATGACAATCCATTATGACAAGCATATTTTTGCCTCTCCTTCGCTTCTCTTTTGAGTCATCAGCACGATACTCTTCCATGTTCATTCCACCATGTAAAAGGATGTTGTGAAAAAGTGGGAAGTCCCTCACATGATATTTTGCAGAAATATCATAAAGTGTTTGTTCATAACATCATTATGACAAACCTGGATTATCTCAATCAAAGTCATATTTAAGCAAAACCATGCGATGGAGCAGAAAATTACCCTTCTGATGGATCAATGTCAAACCAATGTTTAATACCGGTCATTTCCCGGGATGATATGTTTAACGATTTGGGTTTTCTAGACCTTGGAAAGTCTGATGATGTAATTATGACACGAGTTATGAACGAACTTATAAATTTTACTCAGCAATAACATCCTTAATATAAAAAAATAAAACCCTTTTTATGGACACACGCTGTTATGATGGTGTATACAAACTATTTTCAATGTTTGAATGCACTACTGTTTGATAGTTTAAGATTAACAATATTCTGTATTTAACATACAATTACGTGTGCACTCAGGATGAGTAAAAAATGACCTATTTTTAGTACTATTATCTTTCTATGTAGAGATATAAGATGCACACATCAATCTACTTGCTCATGCAGCTTGACCAACTTATTTCCTTGCCATATGCATAAAGTTTTCAGAAGAAAACATATTTTACCATGAGTAGTGGTTGATTAAAAAAGTCCTCATGCAAACACCCCCACCTTTTGGCAAAAGCTCTAAAACATTTACTGACAATATTGGCAATGAAAGACGAAGGGGGTCTGTTTTATTTGAGCAAAGAAAACCAGCTCAGAGCATGAAAATTTACTAGCCAATAGATCTTAATTATTAAAAACAAAGCCTACAGGAAAAGACTCCACCAAAGCTGTGTGGACATCAGGCTGCAACTGCAGTTCTTCCATCTCGAATAATCAGTGGTCAATCAGATTCACATTCATATATATGGGAGACACCAGATCAAACACAATCCCTGGGGAACAAATTGGGCAGTAAAGAAAATGAAATATTTCAGAAAGTTTCATAAAACGAAGTGGCTATTCTGACTCGAGCCTGAATAGTCTGCCGTGTCTTAGATTCGAACTCAAAGCTCCAATGTCCTTTACTTTGAATGACTGACTTTTTGTTCCCTTTGAAAAGGTTTTAATTTTTCTCTTCTAATTTCTAACTGGACTTACAATTGATCAATGATTTGTGAGGCATCGCGGTGAAATCAGGCACTCGTCAAAATAACAAAATTGGAGAAGCACGCAATTTCCCATCAGTTTTGCAATTATAATCTAATTTTCAAATTTTGTTCAACCCTTTTGTGTCCAAATAAAAACACATTTCCATGTGAATTACATCGAAAAACGTTGATTAAAAGCTCAAAATATGCAATTTTTCAATTTTGAAGGACTAGCAATAAACTTTGGCAGCCATTTTCTCGCTATTTCTATCTCTGAAACCAAGTGAACTTACCTCTTTCTATCACAAATATATCTTCATTTCTGCTCAAGATAAATGGGTATTCTTTTCATCAAAAGCAAGATAAATGAACAAGCTTTAAGATGATATACCAATAACTCCCCATGCACAGAAATTGACGAGCGCCTGATTCCACCGCATAGTGACACATTTTGTCTTTCTCGTCAAACAAAACAGGTTTAGACTACCTTTTGATGGTATAAATAATCCTTTGTTGTTCTGAAACTTTGATTTTCAATTTTTCTTCACTGCTTTGAGCTCAGATTGCCATTTCTCTAGCTGTTTGCCTTTGTTGTGTTGTGTTTCAAATTTTGCAACTGTTGTTCACTTTTGATGTCACTAATAATTTTCTACTCTTTAACCATGTAATTCAGGGTGGGTCTGAATAAACCCACAGACCAGCTTTTATATTTTCACCAAACACTCACACATGAATACAAATCAAAACAGAACACTTTGAACTTTTATTTTTGTTGTTGTTGTGAATTTCATTCTGTCATGTCACTGGAAATTTTTCCAAAAATAAAATTCGTTCCAATTTTTAAACAATCATAAGAATTAAAGTATTTATTAGACCTAGAGAACTTAAATTTTTTGCAATACATTAAGTTTGAAAGTTACTTTACTGTGTCAAAAAATAATTACAATAGGGTAATTCTGAGAGTTGGGGTGGTGTTTTGAAATACCCCCAAAAATGCCAGTACTCAGCGTTAGTGATTTGTGAAAGGGGCCAGTAGTCAGTGAGTTAATGTTCTATGACGTAAAGCACGCACAATAATAAAATAAAAGACACCTCAAACAAACACTAGCCAAATATTATATCAAAACTAGGCCCTCGCTGGCGCCGTAACTGTCATTTCTATTCTATAGCGCTGTAAAACATCTACATGCCATGCCTAACTAAGTTCACGCGTTGTATCTAAACATATATATATGATTATAACAGGATAGTCAACAGTGGAAACGAGACCTATAAATCGCTCTTTGAGATAACCCAAGCGGTGACGACACCTGTAGTGAGTTTGGGGGTACATTAATATTAATAAGACGGCACATCTCAAATGTGCTCCTCTGCCAAATAGCGCCAAAACATAGCCCACAGTAGGCCTATATATATAAACGCCATATAGACTGTGCACTATTCCATGCCAAAATTATGTGGGCCCCGGAGCAATCCAGCGGAGTGCTCAAGTGAATTGTGATTGGTTCATTGTCTTGTCGCTATTTTAAGTGACTCTGTGACCGTGAACATGAGGGAGGTGAACGTGACATACTTATACTTAGTCTTAAGTCACCGTCCTATGAGTTGTGCTTAAATGAATGGTTTTGTTGTGGAGTGGTGAAAGGTACGTATTACTTAGTGTTCAGTTGTAATGCAGGATGGATGAAATTGACGTTTAGCTAACAAACATATTTAGTTCTAGAAGTCAAAGCCACAAGTAAAAAGAATGAAAATAAAAGCACAAGGTCTTTCTTCACCAATCCAAGGATCCTAAAATTATTCACCATCCCATTTACTCTGCCTTTGATTATCTTCAGCCAAAGATAGCTTAATTGTGCACGCCCAGTTTTTAGACCCACGAGCCGCCCCTGAATGTCATAGTCATATCATATAGGCCTACATACATGAACTTGGAAGAACAATCTGATCAGACATTTCCAATGGAATTCTAAACATTATCCAGAAAGGTGACACCCAAAATAGCGAGACACACACAGACTAGAAATAGAATCTACAGCTAAAATTACAGTTGTTTGGGCCCCTCACCCTCGGCGGACCTCTCATAAGTCTCATTTTCCTTCCAACGACTAGGCTAGGCATTTTGTCATTAAACGATAATAAAAATAATAATAAATTAATAATAAACACAGAAGTCCGAAGTAGAATTCTAAGACTACACAGGAGACTAAGCCTACGACTACACTAAAAACCTATTGCGGACGCTTAGGCCTACCTGTTTTTTAGAATGGTAGCTGGGAACTTGCAGCGCATTTTTGTTCTATTTCAAAATGTTGCACCATTTGATCGAAATTGACCACTTAGAAAACTTCACAAAGATTACTCATCGGCCTAGAATCAAGAGATCTCATTCAAGAGGTAGAATCTACTTCGACAACTTGGCCAAGTTTACAGAGGTGTACGATAGCTGAGTCTGAGCCTAGTTTGTTTGTACTGCTAGAACTAGAAGAAGGCAGAGCTCGTTTCCCAAGCAAGGCCTATCGATACTTGTCCTATCGATTATCGATCGATTCGTCTGACGGACAACAAGCGCACCCGAGCCCCGAACTCAACCCCAAATTTCACCAAATTGCAGTGTCGGTGCGTAGGGCCTAGGGCCTAACTGTTTTGATGCGAACGACCGAAATCAATTGCATAGACTTGAATTGCAAAGAAACCATTGAAGCCTAGAAAGTCCCATGCCCTCTAAGTACAATAGAAAAAAAATCTTGATAAAATCCCTTCCAACACGAAACGAAACCGGAAACTCACCGAAATAAGCTCCGACACCGAAACGAATTATGGTACATGTAGACGGTTTCGTCCGCCATTTTAACGGTGACGGCATAGTTTCGTCCCCGAAAATGAAATAAGTACTGTAAATGACCTCATAAATATTCTGTATACGCCTGCGGTCACCCCTTTTCTGCCTAAATCGACAAAAATGCCTGCTGCACAAGACAAAGCGATGGTAGAAAAACTTGTTGAGCAAGTACGGAGTTACCCTGTGCTCTACGATACGTCCATGCAAGAGCATAAAGACGCGCAACTGCTTCGTTACATCTGGACCTGCATTGCTGAAACCATGGGCGACACTAGTTTGGATGGTAATTACTATTAAATTTAATGATTGATATTTGATGTCCGTTCGTTTTGTTAGTTTATTGTTGTTGTTTTGTTGTTATTATTCTTGTTTGGGTTTTTTTTTCCAATGTTTACAGCAGAATTTTTTAGAATGAAATTAATTAAAGACTAAAGTTCCATAAAATATGTGGGCCTGTATAAAAAATACTTTATGCATGATATAATATCTGCAGGCTGCAAATGGCAAATTTCCACATACAATGCCATATACTCCCTTGCGTTATTTAATAGGTACAATATATATGGCACTGTATAAAATGATTTAACCTGTCCAACACCGCCGCTGTTGATTTATCAAGCAACAGCCAAAAAAGGGGCCGCTCAAATCTCTCAGTGCTTGACGCATTGCATAGTTTCAGTTCTTGACGCTGTGGACGAGCCAACATAATCCATTCACCAGTCGGAGTGAGCTCACCGTAAGCCTCAAAAGCCAAACTCATTTCTTTTCAGAGCTCGCCTTCTCAATATCTTTTCATAACTTTTAATAGTATCAGTCCTTTTCGGAACTACATATAAATTCTGAACTACCTTACACCCCCCCCCCCCCCCCTTTTACATGCACACATACAGAACACAAAGAAGAAAAGTAAAAAAGTGTTGCATGGAAAACTCATCCATTTTGATTTCTTCCTATTATGCATGTATTTTTTCTCCTCTACTAGGAGAAGGGTGGAAGAAGAAATGGATCAGCCTTAGGGACACCTACACAAGAAGAAAGAGGGAGCTGGTGAAAAATGGCCCTACTGCCTCAGCAAAAAAGCCCTGGGTTTTCTATGACTTATTGTCGTTCCTAGACGAGTATCCCTGTGGAAAGAGGACGTAAGTGTATTCATATTAGTGAAAAATAATCTTACCTTTTTTCAATCACTACATTACAAAGAGTTGTGTCCCTTGAAGAAAATGCAAGCCTTCATGGGATGTAAGTTCAAGTCAATGCAAACTAAGAAATCCATGCATGCCCATTCATCCAGTGTCCTCCCAAATATTCTGGAAAGATATTTCAATGTTAATGTAAACTTGGCACAACACAATTGAATCTCCCAATGACTCACTCTTTGAAAAATTACATATATGTGCTGCCATGTATTACAATTAAAATTCTTCCTCTTCGTGTGTCACAACTTGCATGGTAAGTTTCCTTTTCCAGTATTATGAGTAAAAGCAGTGTGATAGGTAAGAACATATAAACTTGTATTGTATCTTGTCTAGCATAGTCGACTGTCTTATCAAGTAAATTATAATTAATAAAAACAGAGATATATTGAATCTGACAGATGTGTGCATTTGGGAAGGCAGCACATTATGGAAATAAACAAGGTGATAAGAAAGGCATCAAGAACAATTGGTAGAGACCTAAGTAACTTTGAATATCTGCACAAGACAAAAGTTCTAAAAAAGGCGGATGCTTAGTGACCATAGCCACCCACTGACATCGGAATTTCAACTATCGACCCGCAGTAAACGATACATTTCCGAAAAAGCAAGAACAGACAGATATAGAGATTCATTCGTACCAACTGCAGTGACCGGGTTACTGAACACACAGTGCTACTAATTGACTAATGAGAGAGAGAGAGAGAATGTTGTACGGAGCGGGTTGTCCCTGCACGTGAGACATGTATTTACAACTTGGCCTCATGTCTTGTCTTGTTGAGCATTTGCGTGAGTGCACCTTTAGGTCTAACTTTTGTAATGTCTACTGCCATTGTTAACGACCAAGACAAAATTCTCCCAGCGAAATGAATATAGATTGCCATTGTCAAAATCTTTACATTTACACATACATACTTGGCTTCTCACTGGTTTAGAGTTGTCTTACTTGGTCTTTAACATGCCACTGTCACATCACTTTAGGTCATCCAGTGTTGAACCTAAATAAAATGGATTAATTCGAAAACAGTGGTAAACCTAAAGAAAATCAAATCCCTGATTTTATTCTTGTTCTTTGTCTACGTAACAAAACTGTCGATTCAATGAAATTTTCCCTTTTTTAAACCAGAAAGGATTTCAAGAGTAATGTCATTAGAATTGTCAGTAGCTACCCTGAAGTAATGTAAATGATCTTTCGCACTTCAAGATAGTAGTGAAACAGAGGAAAGAGACACAAGACCGCACATGTATTGACTACATTGCAAGACAGAGATAGGGGCATCTCATACACTGCGTATAGGCCTTGTCACCTAGTGACGCAAGGATAGGGAATGTACATATGTCTGTCACACAACCTTTGGTTGGTCACGGTCTATTGTCTCTGTAAAACTAGTTCGCATTGGCCCTACACATGTGCATGTGACAGCATGTGGCATGTTTCATGACATCATTAACATTGGGCATTTTTTTTCACAGCTCAATATACTCATTTATCTGTTCCTTGTGACTGTTCAGCTGATAGAGCAAGCTGACAATGTTGAAGAGGAAGCACAAGGCAAACAACTTGCTCAAATTTCAGTGAATGAAAGCAGGAGATGAGAAAAAACTTGCCTAAGGTCAAATTTGCTGCAACAGTGACATTACCAACTTTCCACTGTCGATAGTCACCACTATATGAGCAATCCTGTCTAAACCGAAAACCTGGCTAAACCAAAGAAAATCCACTAGATGAAAAATTGAGGACCATCAAATCAGAAATATCCACTGTAGTATTCTGAATTCACTAATTTTATATTCCCAAATTTGTCTTTCAGAGCAGAAAGCGATTTTCCTCCCATCTCATTCCAGAAGGAAGAGAGCGAGTCTTGCAGACTAGAAACAGTGTCAGATGATGAAAGGTGAGTCTTAATTTAATATGTGAGGCATCGTGGTGAAATCAGCGCGCTCGTTAAAATAATGAACTTAAAGAAACAGGCATTTTTCCGTCAGTTCGTCAATTTTTATCGAATGTTTATTTTTTGGCTCAGCACCTTTTATATCCATGTAAAAATATATTCCCATGTGAATGTTACTGAATAACGTTGATTAAAGACGCAAAATATGTAATTTTTCAGTTTCAAAAAACTCTTTAGCTAATGAAGTTACCAAACTTCGGCGCCCATTTTCTCGCTAAATTTACCGCTAAAACTTAAAACCAGGCAACCCCACCTCCTTCAATCACAAAGGGTAGTCTTACATCTTGTGGTAGGAAAGAAGAATGTTGGTGGTTTGCAGGTGCTCTACTGTAATTTGCTTCTTCTTTCCTATCAAATATCTGTCGTTCTTATCTCTCCTCCGTTTTTGTGTTTGTAACTCTCTTGTAACACTTGAAATTTTCAACACTAACTAATAGGATTTAATTGCCAGAGCCTTAAAACTGTTAAATTACTAAAACAACTTTAAGAAAACTCTCAATCCTGCTGGTAGGATTTCATAGTTTTGAATGCATTTACTCTCTGGGTAATGACCTTCTGGTCAAAATAAGCAAGAACCCAATTCATAGAACCATCAGCAACAAGCATTCTTATGTTTTTCTATACTTCAACATGCAGCAGTGTTTAAAAAAATTGTGCAAATACAAGTACACTTACTGTACATAAAAAGTTTCAAAGTTTTTAAAATAATTTCTTATAGTAGGCGTACACCAAGCAGTACAGAGGTGTTGGCAGGACTGAGAAGAAAACATGATACATGTATGATTCTTAGACCTAATAGAAATAGGAAAGTGCTGTATTCAAATACCATCATCTTGAGCGACTTCATGAGCTTGGGGTTGGATGGGGCGCCTGCAGAAGTTCAAGACTTAGTGGGAGGAACAGAAGGCTATGGAATCAAACATTGCTTGGAACCGTCAGCATCTACACACTTCGAGATGTGTGTGCTTCTTCAGGGGACGGAGCGCTTATGGGGATGCCCCTTGTGCAGTGATGTCGGTCCTTCACACAAGTAACAAGTGCTGTATTCATGCAAATTTATTCATATATGAATGGCATTTTATTTTCCAGACTAAGTGCAGTTTCTGTTTGCAGCCCAACAACGAGAGATGAGCAGCAAGGCTTTCCAAGATGTTCTTCAATCACTTCACCTGTCGGTCGGAAGAGGCCAAGAGAGGCAGGGTCAACAAACAGTGTTGATTTTGCTATCAAAGAGCTAGTCGATATGAAAAGAAGTCAATGTGCAGCTGAAAAGGAGGAGGCCGAACGAGACCCAGATGGAGATGAGGCTTTCTTCAAGAGCTGTAGCCGGCGTATGAAAAAGTTAACACCTCAAGCGAGATCTTTCCTCAAACTGCAAATTTCTCAGTTGTTCTTCAATGCTGAAAACCCCACTCTTCCTCCCATGTCCATCACTCCACTCATGCACACATTTCAGCCCACCACTGCTACCCCCACAGGATCATATACAAATGTTATTCATCAACATACAAACATCCTTCCCCAACATGCAGCGAGTACCTCAGTTCCCAGCATCTCAAATACAGGTGATCTTATTCGTGATGCAATGAACCGAAGTGAAATATGAGCTTCTCATCTTATGCTGAATGATTATTATTCCTGCTGTTGGTGTCATTGTCATTATGGTATTTTTTTTCTCTAGTCGTTTGACTAAGCAAATTATCTAACAATTTGTGATGTACAAAGTATTAAATTTATCAATGATATTAATATTTCTCTTTTTTTATTGTCTCAGCAGTCTGATTTGTGTGTTTATGATTGTGTATTTGTGAGACAGTGTGGTGAAATCAGGCTCTCGTCAAAATAGTGAAACTGAAGAAACTAGATTTTTTTCTGCCAGTTTGATATTATCGAATTTGGTTGGGGGGGGGCTCAACACATTTCATGTCCATTAAAGAGCACATTTCTGTGTGGATTTTTACTGTGGTTGATTATCATTAAAGGCACAAAAAATGTAAATTTTCAGTTTCCACAGACTCTCAAGCTAAGAAAAAAACTAATCTTTGGCGGCCATTTTCTCACTAATTTTACCTCTGAAACCAGGTGACCTCCGCCTCCTTCATTTGCTAATATATCGACCTGTATTCAAGATAAATGGATATTTTTTTCATCCAAAGCAAGACAAATGAACAAGCTTTAAGATGATACCAATAACTCTACATGCCTCAAAATTGACAAGAGCCTGATTCCTCCGTGTGGTGACAAATTTGTGTGTGTGTTTCTAGATCATACATCTAACTGTGTCATCGGGGGGGGGGGGGGGGGGTTGCTTTCTTTTGGTCCCCACTACACAATACACATCATTTAGGAGGCGGGCTTTTGACCAGTCCAGGCTAAGCATGGGGATACAACATCCCTGCAGAAAGAGTGAGACACTCGATATAAGAATATTCTCCCCATTCACGAATTGAACTCTGGTCTCCTCCATGTCACAGCGAAGTGCTAACCGCTACACCATAGACACCGGTGATCTGCATTAAAAAAGTTTTTCTTTATGTTGGTGCTTTACATGTTCATGTACAATGTATGTGTATTTAGAGCCGAGTGCCCCTCCTCCCCCCCACCTCTCTTTCTCTCTCTCTCTTTTTCTCTCTCTCTCTCTCTCTCTCTCTCTCTCTCTCTCTCTCTCTCTCTCTCTCTTTCTCTCATCTGTGTGTATGGACACATTCAAACTCAGCTTAACTTTACATAAATTTAAGTTAGAAATTTCTGCTGGATCAGAAGCTAACCTATTGTGATTTAAGCTTCCTTTGGGGGAGGGTGCTTTTTTGTTTTTAGTTGTTGTTTTTTTACCTGATGCCTGTCACTGTCAGTCCTCTGGCTGCCTCAGTCCTGTCAAATAGACTTGAGCGTGAGTTCTCTCAAAATAAACGCCACGCCGGCGCCCGCCATCCTTGAGGTCATCGGACTGATATTTGGCGTCGCCAAATATTTTGTCGGTGGGATGGCGTAGCAGGCAAACAGTTCGCCGGTGGTACGGCAGGGCAAATTAAAACCATTTTAATTTAAGGAGAGGTGGCAGGGGGTTGACACCAAATCTCTTGTTAATGGATTCTTTGCCTAAAATTCATGATATACATGTGTAGGTGGATGGAATAGAAGGATATGTACTGTAGAAATCACATTTTCATTCACACTTTTGCATAAATGGATAAAAATATGCCGAATCAGCATTTTTTTGCAAATTTTATTTTCAGAATATCTTCTAAAATAAAAAAGAGGTAACTTAAATATTTGGCATGGCTATCAACAAAAGCACAGCAAAAGAGGTTACAAAGCCAGAAATTTGAAAACTGTTCCCTGGATAGAGATCTTGGGCTACACCTCTGGACACAATTTGAACTCGGATATTTTAGGGGATGGGTCAACATATTGACCCCAAACTCAAAATGTACAAAAGATAATAGCAATATGGCCCTGTAACCCCTAAGACATACATCTGAGGAATATTGTGTGCAAATTTCATTGAATTTGGTCAGTAATTTCCTGAGATTTACTACAAAAACTGCTGAAAAATTATCAAAACGGCCATTTTGAGAAAAATGAGAATAAAGATTTTCCCCGTTCACCACAAAATTGTGAAACTTGTGTTTGCAACAAAACATAATGTCGTACAGATCAGACTGATGGTGGTGTAAAGGTGCAAAAGACGTTAAAACAGAAGTTCATTTTCTTAAATTGGCGAAACCTGGCAGTAAGCGGAGCAGTGCTATAACAGAGGGGGGGGGGGGGTATAGCGAGGTGTTTGAATGTACATGCATTGTTTTTATAATACATGTACTATAATATTATGTAAACCTGAGAAAAAATGTGTACGGAGTCTATTCTAACTACGCAAATGTGTAGGGTTGTGATGGTCATGTTCTGGAACGGTGGTTGTGGTTGGTCTTTTTGTTTTAGGGGCTGAAGGAGATAAAGCTATAGTACAGTAAATGTGGTGATAGTGACATGTATGTAGACTTCTCTGTTGGGAGACTGATAAGTTCCTGCTTATGTTATAAATCCCAGAGGTTTCATAAATATGCAAAATTTATTGCAACATCAACAAAATTAAGGAAGAGATTCAAGGACAGGAGAAATTAATTTTGAAACAGCGTCTAACCTTTGAAAGTAATGAAAGCTGGTATTTTTCCATGAATGCACAATTAATCATTTTCAGTGGTTCAGTTCAACTGAAGGGGAGATTGAAATACGACAGAAGACAGTTATGCCGTTTCAGATGAAGGTTTTCGGCCTGACCAAGATCCTGTGAAAGTCAGAAGGCTTCCGAAATCCCATGTCGCTTGCTCCAGCTGCTGTTCCTCACCAGTGAGCCTTGGTTTGCATTGCTGAGATGTTACTTGCTAGATACATGTATATACACTAAATAAAAACCATTGATTTCAAATCTCACTATTCCAGCAGGTATTTTGAACCACACCTGTTCATCAAATTTAAAAAATTCATAACAGGCCACTATGCAACTGTTCTACAATGATAATTAGGCTGCATGTACTAAAGCATGAAGAAAAGGAAAATAACATTACGTTCATTGGCAGACAAGCGTGAACTACGACAGTAAAAGAAAAAAAAGGAAAGAAAGAAAAAACGACTTTGTAAGGAGCTCTACATCTAGGCCTAGACTATATCTAAATGTAATTGCTAGTTTTCTTTCTTTTTTTTTGGGGGGGGGGGGGGGGCTGCGAGATATGAATATGCCTGCCCTATGGTCAGTGGCGGTGGGTAGTAGAGGGCTCACGGGCTTGAGCCCCCCCCCCCCCTCCCCCCTCCGCTCCCTCTCCCACCTTCCCCCATCCCCACCCCAACTCTATCCCTAAGTAAATGAAAAAAACAAAATAAGGAGTTGAAACTATTATGATCGTATGCAATTATCACAGAGTAAGCATCTTGGCGGCTTTCTCGTTTATCCAATCACTGTTGTCACCGCTTACAACTAGTAACCTAACTGTCAATTAAATGTCTTTAGGGCTCAGAAAAGAAAAGCCCGTTCGCACGCTCCCTCCGTAATGAAACCACTCTTGTAAAAAGGTAGAAGACTTTTTTTTAATAACACTGCACAGAGGTCTCCCGCTCTCTTCGCCCTGCCAAAGGGGTGAAAGTTTATGACACACTTTCCACCAGTGATACAGTTACCTTATAGTTATACGTTCATTTGACTTTTGTTGTGTGCTGTACTTTCCACGACTACACGGCTTAATCCAGCTAATTAGACGGTATATGTTTAAAGTGCTTCTTGTGTGCATGTTTGTGTGTGTGTCGCTGAGACTTAATAGTTATTAATTACATTAAACCACTTTTGAGGCAGCCTTTTCATTAGATGAAAATTAATTAGAGAAATTTGGAGGTGAAACGGCTTCGTCCCAACCACCCAGAAGAATTTAAACGAAGAGAGGTAAGACAAAGGTGACTCGCCTCATTTGAATGCTTTTCAAAATGCCGTGGCTAGCCGTAAGTATAGAAACATTATCACTGGGTTTTTTTTATAGCTTGCTATTAAATTATGGTGGTAAAGAAGTGGAAGCAACCTAAGCCCCACCCAAATTTGGGTCCACCCACCGCCACTGCCTATGGCTTGTTGCGAAAAGTGTCAATCTGGAAGTTCAAAATCCGAGTTCAAATTTACCACAGAGAGAGAGAGAGAGAGAGAGAGAGAGAGAGAGAGAGGCGAACATGTGCGTGCGTGCATGCATGCTTGTATGTGTGCGCTTGAGTGTGAGTGTGTGTGTGGGGGGGGGGGGGGGGGGTTGTAAGTAGAACTTCGGTTTGCGTCGCCCAGTGGCAATTTAAGAGAAAGCCTTGTTCATATACATATATTTCGTAAAATTATTAAGACCGCAATGAGCGTCCTAAACTGCATGCTACTGCTAGATAATATAGAAAAAAACGAAACGAAACGCAAGCAACGATATACTGGATACACACTTCCTTCCATGGCATCTTCCAGCCCGAAAAGTCACCAGGGGGAGAGGGGGAGAAAAAGAGAGGGAGGGGGGGGGGGCTGAAAAAAATAGTGTCGCTCACATGCATAGATTTACACTGCTCACATAGCACATGGAAATTTTGAAGACTGCTCTTGTTTTTTTTTTCAAGGAGAGCTATCATTTGTTTACAATTAATGTCACTTCCGTGTCGTCACTCGTCAGTGAAGGAAGAGAGAGCAGAGGATTGGAAGCTTGTTACTGACGTGGTGACAATTAAATTTATTGTGATCTGAACACTCTTGGCTAATGATAACTTTTTATCTGAGACACTGTTCTTTTGGTTTTAATTTTTCGCAAACATTTTGACCTCTTAATCTGTTCTTACAAGGTGCCACTGCGACTATTTCTCGATCTAGAAATCTAGCAGATCTCTACTTACTCTTCTCTGTGAAGTCTGAAGTTTTCATTACCGGTACGGTAACTCTGGTACCGTGCGTGTGTCATCGAGTGTGAAAACCAACTTCAACAACACCACGTTCTAATTGCCCAGAAGCACTCACAAGAGTCGAACACAGTCTGCTGAGAAATGTTGGGCAAGCTTATTTTCCTTTCCACTGTCGTCTGCGTCATTGCCTTACTAATAAACATCGACTACACTGCCCAGTATCTAAACAGTAAGGTGTTGCCAACAATTTATGAAGTCTTGCCAGACTTTATAATAAAAAACAGTAACTCCAGTGAACGACAAGTGGAGAAAATATTCAGTCGTGAAGATCTACTTCAATATAAAGGCACAAATGGTGGCAGGGTGTACCTGGCTGTAGTTGGCCATGTGTATGATGTTACAAAGGGCAAGAAACATTACGGTCCAGGTGGTGGCTATGAATTCTTTGCAGGGATTGATGGGTCAAAAGCATATGTCACAGGGGAATTCAATGAGAAAGGACTTACTGATGATATATCAGCTCTCTCACCTTCTCAAATCATTGGCTTAGAGGGGTGGAAATCTTTCTATGAAAAAGATTACAAGTTTGTTGGAGTGGTCGAGGGAGCTTTCTTTGATAAAGATGGTAGTGAGCTGCCTATGATGAAGGAGTACAGGAGAAAATTGGACTTGGGTCATCAAGAGAAATCACTAGTGGAAAAAGATAGACAACTGTTTCCACCCTGTAATTCTGAGTGGAGTCAAGCTGATGGTGGAAGGGTATGGTGTTCTACTCTCAGTGGTGGTATCAGCAGAGACTGGGCTGGCCTGCCGAGGATGTACTACACTGCAGGAAACTCAAAGCCTCGGTGTGCTTGTGTGCGCACAACAGGGCCTCCATCTCATGATATGAACAGTGAAACACATAAAAATAGAGGGGATTTGGACAATCCAAACTTGAATGTTTATCCGAATTGTTCACCTTCTTCTGAATCTTGTCCATTACCTCAAAGTAGTTAAACACAAAATATAAAGTAAGCCAATTTGCCATTTCATGTTAGGTCGAGTAAAATGTAGACTAAAGGGCTTCAGCTCAGAGACTTTAGAGTACAGTAATACGATTACTTTCGTCATCCACTATTAGGTCATAGTTTTGCATTGAGAACCCCAGGTTGGCATGAGAAGGTTAGCTTTTGTGGCACTACAATGTGGAACCTTCAGAAAAACGTAAAGTGCAATGCCAGGTCTTATTGTAATTGAAAAGTAATTAAATGTGGCATAATTATGTGGTTGTGATGCCGTAAGAAAAGATAGGATTCCTTATTGCTATTGTGCTTGGAGGCATTATATTGTTTTATTTATATTTAAACTTTTTGTGCAAACGTCATAGTTATTTAAGTGCCCATTTTCCTTGAAAATCCAGCTCCAACCAAGCAGCTTTTGAGTTCATCAAGCCGGAGTATAAATTGTGTAGAGTCTGTTAAATTGGAACCTCAAACTCTTTAACCCCCACCAGGGCAATGCCACTGACTGAAGTTGTCCTTAGGCCATTCCCAAAGTGGGGGATTAACATGTTCTTATGCACAGTAGAATTGTAAATTAGCTGATTTATCAATGTCATTCTCATACTGTACCGAAACAACATAGGGGAAACTGCTGCTTTTTCTTTCCTCATCCTTACTATCATCGTTTTTCCGTCTACTTCTTTTGTATGTTTGTCACTCTCTTGTGAACTGCTATTTGCGGGGTGCCTTGATAGTCGAAGCAGACTTTGTGCTTATTGGGACAAGAGAGATGAGCAGAAGCCTGATTTCCCCATTTGGACTTCTCTGTTAACATCCACCCCTTGGCGCTCATATGGCCTTATGCAGTTGCGAGTGCTGTAAAACCTTAAACTAAAAAACTCTTTAAATTTGTTGAGAACAAAGAATTGTTTGTTTGTTTTACGTAAACGGCTTTTGGGAATTCTCCTTTGCAGAGTTGTGAGACTTAGAAGGAGAAAACTTTCCCTGCAACAGAGATTGTTACAGTGGGTGTCGCATTCAACGAGATCACATTCAACGTGAAGTCGGCTCCAACGAGGCAATCATTAATCCCCGATTTTTCCCCCTTTATCTCTTCGTAAATGTACGTCAGCTACAACGAGGTTGCATACAGACCGAGGTCGCGATAAAAAAAATAAAAGCAATTAGCGGCCCAAAAAGCGAAGAATTTGTTACTTTCTCTCCATCTCATGCTCGAAGCACAAGGCCCATCCTCAATGCTAGATAGGCCTATTTAGTACATATAAATTAGTGTGCCTCCTGGGCCCCAAAGCCAAGAGGATGGGGGATGCTGGGCGAGGGTTGAAGTTGGGGTTGGCTTACAGTAGGGATGGGAGGGGGTGGGTGGGAACGCGACGCGTGCTGTGTGAAACTGAGCCTGTGCTGCTGTTAGGCCTAGGCCGAGCCGGCAGGGATGGGAGGGGGTGGGTGGGAACGCGACGTGGGCTGTGTGAATCGTGAAACTGAGCATGTGGTAAGGCCAAGCCTGGGCCTACAGTTTACAGTGTGGCGTAGTTGGGGGGGGGGGGGGGGGGAGATGAAGAAAACCATCTTCCTCTGATTTCAGTTGTTCTTTCTTTTCTACTTTGTTTGTTTTAGTAGAGGTCTTTTCTACTTTGTTTGTTTTAGTAGAGGTCTTTTCTACTTTGCACTAACTTTGACAATATTCCTCAGTCCACTTGTGCTAGAATTAAATTCAAAATGGCTTCAAAATCGTCCACAAGTAGGAAATGTCTTTCATTTGAAATGAAACGAAAAATCATAGATGAAGTTGAAAAAGGACAGAGATCAAAGGCAGACATTTGTCGTGAGTATGGCCTCAGCTCAAGCACGTTGTCGACCTTTTTAAAGGACAAGGCCAAAATTCGAGAGGCCGTTGAACAAGGCTCGTCTAAGCAGAAACGCCAACGCACTTCTGAGTTTCGAGAAATGGAGAAGGGACTTCTTATGTGGTTCAAAGAGGCGCGGAAGCAAGAAACTGTTGTTTGGGGAGCCACACTCAAAGAGAAAAGCAAGGAACTAGCCGCAAAACTGGGCCATGAGGACTTCACCATGAGTGACGGACGGCTAGGCAGATTCAAACGACGCCATGGCATCACATTCAAGTCAGTGAACAGTGAATCTGCCTCCGCCAGAAACATCGACACGTCTGCATGGAGTGAAACACTTAAGGAAGTCTTGACATACAAGCCCTGTGACGTCTACAATGCCGATGAGACTGGGCTATACTTTAAGTGTTTGCCTGACAAAACTTTAGCCTTTCAAGTTCAAGGGGAGGCTTGCAGCGGAATGAAGGTGCCAAAGGACCGAATTACCATTCTGTGTGCTGCCAATATGGATGGTACTGACAAACTGCCTTTGCTCACAATTGGAAAATTTGAAAAGCCAAGGTGCCTCAAGAACATCCGCACCTATCCCGTGACTTATCGTCACAACAAAAAAGCGTGGATGACATCAGTGCTCTTCGAGGAGTGGGTGAGAAAGCTTGATCATCGCTTTCTTCTTGCTGGCCGTTCTGTCGCACTGATAGTCGACAAATGCAGCGCACATCCCAATCTCAAAGACCTACGAGCCATCAAACTGTACTACCTACCCCCAAACACCAAGCCCCTGCTTCAGCCCTGCGACCAAGGAATAATTAGGGTATTCAAAGCACTCTACCGGAAGCGAGTACTACAGCGCTACATCAATGAGTTTGACCGTACTGGCAGTACCGAATCTCACTACAAAATAACATTACTGGATGCAATGGTCATGGCAGCTGCTGCCTGGGACGACGTGGAGCAATCCACGATTCAGAAGTGTTTTGGTCATGCAGGCTTCGTGCAGACCAACAGCACGGAGGAATCAACCAGCTTCAGCACAGAGCCCACCGCGTCACAGCAGATTGATGAGACAGAAGTGATTGAGACCACCGCCTCTACCCCCCAAGACATGCCGGATCTTGAAAACCTCTTTGAGAGGCTCAGAGACATCACAGGCATCACCTTCAATGTGACAGAGTATATCAACATTGATGCATCTGCCCAGACAACAGAGGCACTCACTTTGAATGATTTAGCTACTTCTGTCCAACAGTCTTCTGTGACAATCGACAGCAACGAAATCGAAAATGATGATGATAACGACAGTGAGACGCAGTTTATTACAAGTGCATCTGCTATGGAAGCATTGGAAAAGCTGCGCTTGTATCTGATGCAGCAGAATAACACTGAAGCAGCCATGCGTCAGGTCTCAGCACTCGAGAAGACTGTACAGCAAACCGCCACACGAGAGATGCGACAAATGACTATTGTTGACGCCTTCAACTTTAAGAAATCTTCAGCTTAGAGAGAGAGAGAGAGAGAGAGAGAATACCGGCAGCCTATTTTGCCCCAGTTTAAGCCAACTGTAAAAACGTAAATTACCCACCTCTGGCTTTTCTGTATTGTCTGCTGATACATGTTGTCTATAATTAATGTCTCTATGTCTTTTTTAAATAAAACTTTAAAAAGGAACAACTTCCATATACTGGAACTGTAATCCCTCCCTTAGTGAAATGAAAACTAACATTTTGTTTGGATGGATTGGCCTAGATCTCTAGACCTTCAGCTTCTTCAATTTTCTTTTCTTCCCCTGATCAGAAAATCCAAGCTCCCGCCTTTACTTGTAGAGCTAGGCCTGGGTATGAGAGGGTATGTTTCCACAAGAGAAGTGTTCCGGGAAAAAATCCGGAAAATTTTTTTTAAAACCCAAAAAACCACGATCAGAACACAGCAAAACGCACACACTGGTGCAGTTTGAGTTTTTCGTCATAAGGGGGAACAACTGTTTTAATTACTCATTACTGGTATTGGTACATCATGTAATATCGTAATAATATAATTACTTCTCTCCCCTTCTTTTTCTTTTCTAGCGTTAGTTCAAGTTCAACTAGAGGTCGAATCTAACTATGTCAACAAGCCGGTCCCGGCAACCTCGTTGAATGTGACACCCACTGTACATGGAAAGATGATTATTTGGTTGAGTTTAGGACTTAAGTTTATTAGTCGCTGCATTATAAGTGTTTCTCCAGAAGTAACAGCATTTTAGTACAGGACAGTTGTTTTTTTCTTGTGCATAGAAAAGGTTTCATTGATATGAATTCAATTCATTATAATAATTTCTTGCTAATTGATGTGAATTTTTTTTTATCATCTTTTGCTGCAATGCAAGTAGCCGAGGAATCAGTGATCATGACTCTCAAAATGTTTTTACACTTTTTTTGTGTATCTTATATTTTTTCATGAATTTTTATATTGATTGATCAGGTAAAATCAGGTTTTCTGGCAGTGGTACTGCCGAAGAGAAAAATTTTTCTGGCAGGTTAGTGGTTCAAGTGTGTATGAAAGCAAATTGTTTTCCTACTATACTCATTCAAAGAAAATAACCTGCTTCTGTGGTGTAGCAGATAGGCACTTTTCTGTGGCATACAGGAGACACAAGTTTGATTCTAGAGTGAGAAGAATTTTTATCAAGTGAAAGTGTCTCTGTCTTTCTGCTGGGATTTTGTGTCCCTCTCAGTGCAGGTTGGCCCGGACAGACAGTCAGATGCGACAGAATCAAAGCCTGTCATCTAGATTATCTTTAAAAAGTAAAAATACCTACAGTTATCAAAGAAAATATCAAGTTGTTTTTTTTAAGTGTCACCTGTTAACTCAAAGTAGTTAGATAGATTATCTCTGTGGGGTAAACGGAAAACTCCTTTCACTTTTGTTTGAGATTATTGTGCTACTTCATCTTCTGATGTTGGACTCCCAAATTGATTCAATAAAAAGAAAGAGAAGCAGTGAAGAATATATGAAAGTGCACGACATGTGTAAGTGTTAATAGCTTGTGGGAAATATGATACATGTAGCAGTTGTTTCTGCTGATGTCAACTCTAATCTATGATGCTTAGCACCAGTGCCAGTAGGTTTGTTGTCCGTTTGTACTCCTTTTCTTGACATTTCATCTCCTTTGATATCCTTGAGGGAAAGTGTCTCAGTCTTCTCGATTACACCACTTGTCTGCCATTTATGGATCAAGGAATTTGTGCGTTGGCGTTTTAATGTGTTCCACATGCCATGTGTTGCAAAAATCAAAATAACTGGTGAGACAGAGGTTGTTTATTAAATTAGCTAAAATTGTGTCGATGGAGGTGTAAAAACACTTGCATAATGGGACTTTTGTGTATTGTTAAGCTTGATAAGTTCCTATTATATATATTTGTCTGGAGTTTACACCAAAAGTGTGATGCTGATAGTGAAGAAATTTGTATTCCCTTTCACACATAAGTCTTGCTTTATACTCATGGCTGAAGTAACTAGTGCCATGAAATTGTTGTTCTCAAGGGTTTAACAATCTGATTAAAATTACATGGTATATCATATTGAAGTGTAGTGAAATTATGTGCCTGTTTGAACAACTATGTTGCAATGCTGCCAGTTTCCTTTCTAAGTGTCTGTTTGTCTCCTCTTTGATCTAGAGTATTATAATGTATGTTACATGTTGTTAACTTTACTGTTTTAGTTACGTTTTGTCAAAACCACGTGTTCTGTTTGGTTGAACAATGTTCTTTGTTTTAGATGAGAGTAATATTTTTGCATAGCTGATTAAGGCATTAGATCTATATTTATATCTATTTAATGATTCTCCATACCACTTTGCTCGTAACTTGTTGCTATATAAGGTAAAATACATACTGGTACCTGTTGTTCTGCACTTTGGTTATCTTGCTGGGCTTAAATTCAAGATACACTGTGTATAAGCTTAAGTTGGCCAGGTGTGTCGGCACTCTTTTCTTTCCCTTGCTTTTGGAAATATGTTGGGTTGTTATTTTTCAAATTGTAAAAGCAGACTACTTTTATATTTTTTTAATATATTTTTTTTTTAAATAATTTATTTATTTATTTATTGTTTGTGTGTGTGTGTGTGTGTGTGTGTGTGTGTGTGTGTGTGTGTGTGTGTGTGTGTGTGTGTGTGTGTGTGTGTGTGTGGAGAATGATATATACATGAACCTGCACGGTTTAGCGTCCACAGACGATGATAGGCCTGACGAGTGTCAAAATAATGATAATGCCCAGCAAGACATGATAAACTGGTGCGGCCACGAAAGCCCGAGGGGGGGAAGGTTGTTGACCTCTCCAAGTAGTCCAAGGCCTTCAGCACTCGCGCAGACGGACACACCCAAAATTTTCAACGTCTGTTCCGCGCCAAAACTCGTCTTTAATTTTAATGACAACAGAGGGTGGCGTCCTTTTGTATGTGGGTTAAGAACATCTTTGTCACAATAACTTCCAAAAAGTACATATAATTTGGACTGGCAGTTTAACTACTTCGCTCTTTGTTTTTTTATTTTAGTTTTAATAAGAGTTCTACGGCACTTGTAACACAATAAGGTCATATAAGTTCCGTTGCTGGTTTGTTTTTGTTCTTTTACTATAAACTTAAATAATACATCAATTTCAAATTTCGAAAGCAAACGTCCCCAAACATATGTCCGAAAAGCTTTATAAATACAGAAAAAGCAGATAATTGGTTACTGCATTTACAAATGATTCTGATAGATCATCAGTCTTTCAAAAACTTTAGTCTCTGGTTTCGGTCTTTTCCCCCGAACGGAAGCCGTTGTGGATCTGGTCAGTTGCAAGTTTCATTGAACATGCCGAGATACTTTGTTGAAGGTCCAGGCATATCTTCCAGCCTTCAGAATGTTTTTTGTTAAACCAAATATGTGTCACTTGAGGGGGGGGGGACCCATCGGAATGCTATTCTTTTATCAATAACATCTTTAGCTTCTAAAATATGAATTCTTTAATTAAAATATTGAATTTCTCTAAGAACTCAGTTCCCTATTCCATGTATACATCATTAAAAAGAAATAGCTATTTACTTAATACTTGCTGAAAAATGTACCCAAAGCCGCTGTTTTGAATGTTATGCCCCAAGATTCATTGTTGTGAAAGCTCCTTCATTTTTCTTCCTGTCTATCATAACCCGCTCTTTCCTTTTCTTCTGCAAAAAGGAATCTGTCCCTTTATCATCTATAATAAATCAACAGCTATACAAAAACAGAAGATGTGTAACTTCAGACCTGACTCAATTACACATACCCGAAGTTTAATCCTAGACCGAAGGCTTGGCATCCTCACTGTTTACAACTGCAAACTTGTCTTCAGGCGGAAAAAAACCAACAAATTTCAATCCAGAATAAAACTTCAGAGTTTTTCAAGAAAACACAACTTTGGTCGATCTGCACAAATGAAACCTCCACAAGAACCTTAGCCCAGTGTAGTATGTGTCCAACTCGATGATGTTTAAATATCTAAAACACACCCACGGCCGTATCCAATAATATAATGAGAGAGCACTGGGAAGAGAGGAGGCTAAATTTGAATTCCCGCATGCATGACGTGCATCCTGCTAGCTCATGTGACCTAACCAATGCTTGTGTTTTCGCTAAACTAAAAAGAAACAGTTATTTTTGCTACTTTTTCCCCTCACTGGCTTTCCTTCCCTCATCACACGACAGTGAGTGGATGACTGTGTACGTGACGGCCCACAGAAGTGGAAAACGGGAAGGACGGGGCAAGTAGGGGAGTGATATATATATATATATATATATATATATAGTTGAGAATAGTTGTGAGTTTTCCTTGCGTGTTCTGGTCATTCATTACTTGAGTATTTCGTTTCTGTTTTCTGTAGCATTGTTACCACTGGATCTGGCACCTGGCAATTTGTATTGCATGAGTTAAACGCCTTTAATAAACACCACAAAGTTATTAAAGTTTCAAACAAAACCGATATAATATAACAACCAAACTCGAGGTGCTCTTGGAACCGCCAGTCATTTCCCCCCAATTCTGTGCTGAGTCCCACAAGGGGGTCAGCGGCCTTGGTTAACGGGGAGCACTTGAAGAGCAACACCTACTCGCGGCAACCCCCGAAGTGGTCAGGAGCAGTTTTTCCCGCCCAACAAAATCATATTATTATTCATTCCCTTCTCCTTCTCCAGTTTTGGTTTCGCGAAGGAAAAACTTTCCCTCGGTGTCACATGTCAGAGCTAAACACACGTGGTACTGACGTAAAAGTACGTAAAAGTAAATCATCATCAAGAAGTCTCAGGGCCTTACTTAATTAATTGATGAAGAAGGCAAGTTTTACGTCCCTGTTGACACGATTTTGATTATTTTGTAGACGGAACGGACTGTTTCGACTGTAGTGTCTAGGAGGACAATGCAGGGAACATGAAATACGACCACGTCTACTGTAAAAACAGTTTGATGATGATGATGATGATGATGACTTTTTGCCTTCGTGTTTCCCCTCCTCTAGCATTTTCGACTCATTGATTGTGTTCACCACACCCTTCCGTTATT